TATATATAGAGTGTAGTAAAGAAGATATAAGGAATGAGAGGAGCGAAAACCGCCCTGCAGATATATTTATATATATTCTATAACTCTTAACACAAAATTTCGTTATTATAATCTCGCTGTACAATTTTTTTATTATGGCAAAAAAGTTATACAACGGCTTATAACAATAATAAAAGAGTTATTTATTGAATTATTTACAAAATAGGTCTGCTGGCATTTTCTTTTACTAAAAGAATTAGTGTAGGACGGGGCTATTCCATCAGTTTTAATTTTAAAATAATATGAAAAAAAAATTTTAAATGGCAAACAATATTTTTTTGCAGTAATGTACTTACAATTACAATATTATGATTGCTTCTTGAATGCACAAGCACCTTTAAATAATTAACATGCTGTTTAAAAAAATAAATATTGTTATGAAAAATGAACAAAAAAGCCCTCTACCTTATTTATTACTAAAATTGAAAAATACTGACAGAAAAGATTATTCTTTTATTTATTCGATTATCGTTTTCATATTCATAGCTTCAATAAAATTATCTCTTCTATTTATATATTACATTAAACTTGATTTATTTTTACAGCCTTAAACTTTGGATCTTTTTGAAGGGAACATTTAAGGAACATCTATTCTGTAACTTTTAATGGTCATAACTGTAACGTTACAGTCCTTAAGAATTATAAAATACGTTCCTTATTTCTTACATCTAAACATTTTTTTCCTTCAAATCTACATCACTTCTGATATTTTCGACTTTCGGCTTCTAATATTTTCGGCTTTTAACGACTTTACGACTAATTCTCGTTTTTCAAAAGATTTTTTCTTCTTTTTTTAGAAGGACGATCATTGAATGCATCTTCTTTATCTTCATCTTTGTTCTCATGGATCCTTTTACGATGCGAATGATAATGATGTTTCTTTCTAGACGATATTTTAATCTTAGAACTTCTTATAGTTGATTTTGAACTCTTTCTCTGTCTTTTATCGTTCGTGTATCTCTGCGACTGTTTCCTTTTTGTGGAATGAGAACATTTCATCTCTTTCGTGCGATCCAATTCAGTCTCGGGAGATTCGGACCATCTCCAGCTGCGATCTTTTTCGCTATCATCTCGATCAGACTCTTCCCATTTAGATTTACTTCTAAAAAAACAAAAAGAATTAAATAATAATAGAAACTTTTATCACACACAATTCATTTTTAATCTACTTTATTACAGCGCATTGACTTATTTTTTTATAATATTATCTTCTAGCGAAAATAAAGGTTAGAATCAATTAAATTTAAAGGGAAAATAATAAACATAAATAAAAACAAATAGAAACTTCTAGAAAGTATATAAATTCGAATTGCGAAATAGAAAAAAAAATGTTTTAAATAATAAAATTATGTTATGAATCTTTCTTTTCACTAGAATTGTTTTGCATCGTGTTAAATAAGTCAAAAACCTTATCGGCAAAATGATTTTATTTTTATAATACAAAATACAATAAAAATAATTATTTTGTCTACATAGGACACGTTTTTGATTGTATAATAGCGTGGGATAAATAGTAGCACAAACCTATGTTCGCTTCGTTTGCTGTCATTCGAATTGCTTTTTTCCCGTCGAGGACTTTTGATGTCGTATTTATTATGCGGATTTCGAAAGGTGTGAAGAAAATTACAGAATTTGCTGCCTTTCGGACATTTGTTTATGCCGCAGACAGCACTTCTCCAAGATGTAAAGTTGACGAATTCGCAATTGAGTTGTTTTCCAGCGTACCAGCGCCCTTTTAAGTTTCTCCAAGCTCTAGCCGCTTCTCTTTCCGTGTAATATTCAACGTACACATTACCGCGTAAGTGAATCTCCTTGTTGCAGCAACATTTAAGGGTCTTAATCCTGCCGAACGATTCCAGTTCAGTTATTACATCTTCATAAAATTCGTAAAAGTGATGCAACGTTTCTGATCTCTCGAATTCGAGTGCTACATCAGTGTCATATTCCGCTAAATTCTTCTCGAGAGAGAAATGTGAATAGAATCCGGGTATCAAAATCACTCTGCTTAAAAAGAATTTACGATGATTCTTGGAACACGCATTTCCATACCTAAGAACATTAAAAATCAATTACACATAAATATAAATTTTAAAAATAAAAATAAAAATACAATTTTAACTATAGTTGATTTCAGTTTGAATAAAACATTTCAATCCTAAATCTAAACTTATTTCGATTGAATTCAATTCAATTTTAATTTAATATAAATATGATTCTTAACAATTTTTTAATATTAAATGAAATAATTTTAAAGCTTAAAAAAGATATGACATTCTTATATCAATATATTCATCTACATATATTCATTAGTAATTCATATCAATATATATTCATAAAAAATAATGAAATTTGGATATATTCAATATACTCATAATTTCAATATTGTTAAGAATGAAATAAGATTAAGAAATCATGATATTATAATATTGTGAATATCTCTATCTATACTAACCGACAAACACCTGTTTTCGAAAAAAAGGGACAAAGTTCTTTGGTAGGTTGATTGTCGACGATTTCGCGTAAAACTTTAGGCGTTTTCACTCCATTGTCAATGTAATCATTAATCTCCTTCTGTAGTTGTTCCTGTTTACGAAGTTGTTCCTCTTGTTTCTTCTTTTCCTCGTCTTTTTTCTTTAAAATTGCCATACGTTTTGCCTCAAATTCTTTACGAATCTTCATCTCTTGCTCAAGTTTCTCTTGTTCCTCCTTTGCTTTTTGTTTCTGAAGTTCTTGCCATTTTTTCTGCGCTTTTATCTGAACAATCAAGAGACAGTAATCAATTATTTGAATTATCCAATTAAAGTAATAATTTAAAGCAATAATTTATTTCAAAATCGCGTATAAAAACAATTTTTTTTTATCTTAATAAATAAGCTTTCTGTTATATTATTAAATTTCTTAGAAAGAATATAACTTAGGAAACAGAATAAAATTTGGAAAATAATGAAATAATAATTATATATAATCAAAATATTTTTACTTATGTTCATTGATAAGACAGAATTTTATGTAAAAAGACAATTAGATATTTTTTT